AGACTATTGAGGAAAGTTAACCAACCTCTCTTGTCTTTCAGACACTTTCCATGATGTTTTACAGCCTGCTCTGGGTGACCCTGCTTGGGCAGGGGGTTGGGCTGGGTGACCCACAGAGGGCCCTGCCAACCCCCAACATTCTGTGATTCTGTTACAAGGCCCATGTCGTCCTCAGAGCAAATCGTTGGAAAGCAGCCCTAGGAGCAAACAGTATTGGTTTTTAAATCATAAAGCAGGGTTTAAAGGGAGACGTGATCTTTGGTTCTGCATCAGAAGGAGAGATGAGTCTGGGAAAACACTGCGCTCAAGGCGATGAAGTGAGAGCTGTTTGTCGCATCCCATAAGCTTTCTCATGCAGAGCATTATTACCACCATGGCCAACAATTCACAAACCTGAAACGGACTTCTGGAGCAGCTAAAATAATCCCCACTAGCTGTAAGAGCGAGAGAAGCTTCTCTTTTCTATCGACTCCTAAGCAAAACAGACAAAGCCTCACGTGCTTCTTGGGAAACAGCTACAGGTATTTAAAAGGCTTTGTATTGTCCTGCCATGGTGAAAAAGCAAACAACCAACCAACCTCCACACGCTTCTGCCTGTGGGAGGAATGATTAGAGGGATTTGTGAACTAAGGCTGCTGAGCAGTGATGCCTCATTCCATTTAGAAGCCTGCTCTCAACACTTCCAAAAGCCAAGCAGGGAACAAGGAGAATGAGCTTTAATTTCATTAATAAAGTTTCTCTTTAATCTCCTGCAACAACTAAGAGCTGATCTTCCTGAGCTACATACCTGGTAAAAACTGCTGCTGAAATCAGAGCCTGAAAAAGCTGATTCTTATCAGTTGATTAAGTGGTCTGGATTAATTTAGTTGTATGTATGCAAAGCAAATAAACCCAGCATCAGCTAGGTCACGTCAGTGGCAGAGGATCAGATTAAGAGTTAAAAAAGGAAAGTAAGATCTTGGTGGCTTACAAAGCTGTATGCTAGGCCTCACAACTTCTCCAAGCAGCAAATATTCTGCACCTGAGCGTCAATCCAACCCCATCACCTAGCACAGAAACTACCATAGCTTAATGTGAAAAGCTCACGTGCTGCTGCTAAGCAGCTTTTTAATACGCTCCAGTCAGCGCTAACCAACCGACCGCAGAATAACGCCATCATTACAAGGGAACACTAAACCCAACGCTGTTAGAACCAAACTCGGAAGCCGTGTTTCTAAATCACAGTTTGCTTTTTAATTCTCTCACGATACTGAAGCATGATGCTGAAGTGGGACACGAACTCTCCAGCATTCTTTCCCAAAATGTCACACAGCAGGAAAGTGTTGTTTTCCCCCCACAGATGCTTTTATCACTTCCCACCAGAAGGTATCACAAGTTAGAAAGTCCTAAACGGTCCACTAGACAGGCAACCACTCAGCCCATTTTGCAGATAATTAAAATGGAAGTTTTGCCATTTCCCCAGCTAACACAAATTCTGTCAAGTCTGTTCCCTCAGAGACTGGGGCAGCAGAGCATCTCCTCAAGCGAAGGACCGCATTCAGACTCGGTCACGGATGCTATCTGACGCCTGGCAGATAACCACGGGTCAGGACAGACCTTGTCAAGGCTGTGGAAGGAGCTAACGTGTCTGCGCGTTCTGGGACTGGATCATCTAATTAGATGCCTTAGCTGATCAGCTGGGAAGTTAAGGAAATTTTGGAGAAAGCTCTAACGAAGGAGAAATGCAGAGGAATTATTAATGGGAGAACGAGACCATGGTTTTTCTTCCCACGCAGTTACAAACACAACAGTAAGCAGGCAGATCTATCCTCTTTCCCGTTATTGTCCAGGCCAGAATCTGACACCTGAACCAGCACCCTCCACCCCCCTCACAAAAAAGGGTAAGAGAAATAAAAGGAGCAAATCCGACAGCAGTAGGAGACTTCCGGAAAGGAACCTGACTGGAAGAGAACAGGCGAGGGACAGGAAGCATTAAAACAGAGACTCCAGAAGCAGGCAGCCAGCCTTTTCTCTCTTCTGTATTGGCAACAAGGCTTTGTCTGAATTCAGATTTTACTGCGGGAATGCAGGCAAGAGTCACCGTCTGCTGCTAACCGGGACTGTACAGCCAGGACAGCTCTGTGCAGAAAGCAGGCAGCTTCCTGACTTCTGCCCATCACATCGCTCCGCAGACAAAGCTTACCTTGCTTCCCGTGCAAATCAAAGCCTTGCATTGCTTTTCTGCAGACGCTACCCTTTGACCAGCACTATACTAAAGGAACATTTGGGTTTTGTCTCACAAAAAAAAGTCCTTGGACTTAAACATGACAGGGCCAAGGCAGGCTGTGCTCCGTGGGAGAACCTTGGCTCTGGAATTCCCCCTCCGCTGGCAGGCTGTGAAGGGCCAGGGTACGTCACCAGACCCATTTTCTCAAGTCTTCCTTCAAAACCCGGTGCTGAGATGACAGAGGCTGGGTGAACACAGGCTGGAATCAGGTTATATTGCTAAATCATCGCAGCATCTATAGCTAGTTAAATCCACCAATGGACATTCTGACTTTCTGGCAAGCCCATACACGGATAGAACTAGTCTGAAAAAAAATGTTAGAAGCTATTCTAGACTTCCAGGCTTTTGAAATTAATTCTAGGGCTAAAACCTAAATGACCTAAGTTTGCTTTTCCTAACATCTCTCAATGTTCTTCAATACCAGGTGTTATTCAGTAGAATCAGTTATTCTCGACAGGATACAGAAAAACACCTTTCTTGTATATAAATTTTAAGTCTGTACAAAACACAGCATCTTCCACAAAGCATCAAGTTTGCTGCTCTGTGAAGCCACACCCCTTACACAGAAGAAATGGAAGGAGGAAGAGGATGAAATTCCTCTTCCACCCACCGAGACGAAGGCAGCCCAGCAGTGCACTACTCTCTTCACCTTTCTACCTAGAACAGGAGGGATAAATCCAGAACAAACACCACGGAAGCAGATACCAGACTTCCAAACTGGTATTAAATTAGTATAGGTTGCTCTAATCTGCTACAAGGTGAAGGAAAACATGTCCTGCCAAATCAGAGCTGGACAAAGTCTGAAACAGAATGCTGCATTTCCCAGTTATGGTACTACAGATCTCTTACTGGTCTTCAGAGCCACATCTACAGACGGTGGAAGGGCTGGCTCTGCTGCCCCAGGCAGCTGGAGCGACGCGGTGTCCCAGCACACACGGGATTTGGTCACTGCTCAGTTAAGATGATTACATTTCCCTGCAAATATCGTATCGCCCAGCTCTTCTATCAACGCTAGGAAGTGGGGAGAAGCTGCCGAGCACTCCAGGGCATACGGCTGCCAGCAGCTTCACACCTCACACAAAGACATTTTCCAGTCCATGTGGCACTCTGCATACGCACACTCCCACAGCACCGCACAAGGGAACACCTCCCCTGCTCCAACCAGGGCTCAAACAGGAGAACAAACAGGATCCACCCAATCTGACAGCTCCAGCACTTCCAGCAGTTGGTTCAGCACCAGCTCCACAAGCCCAAAGAAACAGCAAAACTGGGGGACTTTACCTTTTACCTGGCAAACCAATTCAAGCGTCTGCACCCCGTTCACACGCACCATTCAGTAACAGAAGATCTGCAGCCATTTGGCTCCCGGTTTAGAACAGTCTGCTGCATTCTGTGTTGGGCAGATGCACCCAGAGGGGCCTGGTTTGCCGTGGGTTTTTTTTAAGAGCAGATAGCCAGAGGAGCCCGCAGCGAGGACAAGGACCATCCGTCCCTCAGCCACCCACAGGAACTCACCAGCTGTCAGCACTCTGTCCCACCCCACCTGGAAGCCCCAGAGATCCCAGCGCAGCAGGCAGAAACCCAGTGCTTCCCAGGCTGTCTCCATGGGCACTGCCGTGCTGCTCTGCAGAGCTGTCGCCCAGCAGCATTCAAATCAGACAAGTTTATGGAAACAAACAGAGAAAAGCCATCAAAAGATAAGTTCTTACAGCTTCACACTGAAGTCACTTAGCACAAGACATAAATGCTTTAATAACTCTTCCCTTGTCTCTCAGAATATTCAAAGCATTGCAAACTGGCTGAACTCATCTGGTTGCCCAGTCCTGCCGCAGTCTGCAAGCGCTCCCTGCGGGGCTAAACCAGGTTTGTCTACTGCGAGGCGCTGCTAACAGCGC